ATACTCTCCCCTCTCTCAAATTTATACGAGACCTTCTACACAAGCATCTCAAACTTATAACGTTTTTCGACCCTTTACAATCATTACAGAATACTCGACTTCCGCAAGTGCCGCTTATGCTGCCGCTCGCATTCCCTACGATACTGTCGTGCTTTCCTGGCGATGACGCCCGACGAGAGGTACGAGTCTGCAAAGGCACATCGCTATTGCATTAATTGTCTAGCGACTTCACACACCACCGGAGCATGCGACTCCCCAGACAGTTGTCGTCATTGCGGACTAGCACATCACACGCTGCTTCACCGACCCTCGCGCGAGCTCGCCGAGCGCGCACCGCATCACAGCCGAAGACAAGTCAGGTTCCAGTTGCCCAAAGAACCACGGAAGAACCATCAAAAGCGCACCACTGAACCGGAACCGAAGCGCAAGGTAATGCGAAGCACATCCAACGAGAGAACTCGACGAAACAGCAACGAATCCGTGGGTTGGTAGATAAAGCCCGGAAAACTCTACAACAGCTCGAAGACTTGGTCCAGGTCACGTCGTCACAGGCCCGCCGGCATGTTGAAGACATGAGTGTCGATCTCATAGAGTTCTGAAAGAAAAATTGAAATTAGATAAATATATATATATATATAAGAAATTTTATACTCACCATGAATTGCTTTATCTACTGGAATACTCACCTTAATTTCCAATTCCTGTAAAGCCAAGAAAATTGAAGGAAAAAACGAAAAACGAAATTTCCCCTCCTTTCCCGTTAATGTAAAACTAGCTAAGTACTTTGTTATAAATAATAAGCTTACAGTATTTTTAAGTTCAATCGCTTGCTTACCTCAATACAGTACGTTTGTACATACGTGCGTTGTATAAAAAAAAAGAAAAAATTAAAATAGTGTACTGAAGATACAAAATTAATCTTTTATTTGATTCAACACCGAAAGTTGAATAATCATGTACCGGCACGGAGCTATGAGCGAAAATCCGATTGTGTACTTTTTAAAACCTTTAAACATAAAAAAATGTATATAGTATGAGTGGAAAATATCGGTTAATATACCGTCGGATAGGTAGGGAGTCCAGCTACAATATGCAACAAACTCAGCTTTTCGATCACGTCCGGGAGCGGAGTAGTAGAGCAAAATCGGGAAAAAACGATTTTTCACTTTTTTGCGTTTTTTGAAATATTTTTAAGTGTATATACCATACACGCGGACAATTATGATATTCACATCGCCGGAAAGGTAGAGAGCTCAGCTACACTATGCAAAAACCGCTTTCTTCTAACACGCCTGGTTACCGAGAATAATGATGAACAAAACGAAAAGTTAATAGGCGCTCATAGACAGATGACTATTCATGTATTTTCTGCACTTTATGCTCGCACACACATAACACTAATCTCAATGCCTCTATCTCGTCATGCATGTGTATTGTCTTGCTTAACTTCCAATTTTTGGATAGTGCCAGCACCTTTTAGCTAGCTGCAATGTTCAACAAGCCCCTTTTTTCTATCAAGCCCGAGAACGGAGCTATGGGTGAGAAATTGATTGTGTACTTTTTAACACTTTTTTTAACTTAAAAAACACTTGTTTGACAATACAGAAAAATAACGGTTAATATAACGTCGGGTAGGTAAAAAGTCCATCTATGCTGTGCAACAAACCCCCATTTTCTACCACGTCCGGGAGCGGAGCAGTAGGGCAAAAACTGAAAAAAAAACGATTTTCCACTTTATGCGTTTTTTGAAATATTTTTAAGTGCCTATACCATACACGCGGACAAGTATCATATGTATACCGCTGGATACGTAGAGAGTCAAGTTATACTATCTAACACAACTGTTTACCGAGCAATAGTACGAACAAACATCGTATGGGGTAAAAGTTATTTATTTTTACTTACCAATGTTTAACATTTTTCAACATAAAAATAAAACATTTACATTGAGAACGGAAGATTATGATATGCATACCGTCGGATAGATAGAAGTTCCAATTACAATGCATAACAAATAAAAGAATGTGTCTTGCTCGGGAACAAAGCCATAGGTTGAAAACCGATGTTGAACATTTATGCAGTTTTTAAACTTAAAAAAACATGTACAGAACGGAATGAAAGTAGTGAAATGTTTGCCGTCGTGTAGGTAGAGAGTCAAGCTACACTGTGCAGCAGAACCCACTTTTCTATCATGTACCAGAACGGAGCTATGAGCGAAAATCCGATTGTGTACTTTTTAAAACTTTTTAAACATAAAAAAATGTATATAGTAAGAGTGGAAAATATCAGTTAATATACCGTCGGATAGGTAGGGAGTCCAGCTAAAATATGCAACAAACTCAGCTTTTCGATCACGTCCGGAAGCGGAGTAGTAGAGCAAAATCGGGAAAAAAACGATTTTTCACTTTTTTGCGTTTTTTAAATGTATTTACCATACACGCGGACAAGTATGATATGCATATCGCCGGATATGTAAAGAGTTCAGTTACACNTAGAGAGTCCAGCTACACTATGCAACAAACCGCACTCTTCTAACACATCTGGTTACCGAGCAGTAGGATGAACAAACATCGTCTGGGACGAAAAGTTAATAGGCGCCCATAAACAGATGAAAGCATTCTGAGTGCAGGGTGCAACGAGCTCCTTAGTCTCGTCTCGGACACTAAACAATAATAACGAGACCTTCGGTCTCGTTTACAACGAGCCCAAAGGGCTCGTTAGAACCCCCCCTTTCCCCCACCCTCCTGAGATTACTTTTTTTCTTCTTCTTATTCTTTAAAAATGTTTTTCAGTCATTTTATATTAATTTGAGTTGTCTTTGGCTTGATGGCTTGATATTTGATGTTATTTAATATTTATTTTAATTTTTCTTTATATGAATGTAGTAGCAATTTTGTGACTTCGCAATAAAAGTTCTTTCTTTCGTCTGCCCAACGCGGTACTCGAACCTGTGTCTGCCCTTTTATTCTACTTGTATCTACCTAACATGCTGATCCCTAGGCTATTCAATGTCATGCGATGCTGATGTCTCAATACTCACCGCACTTACTAGTGAGTGAAGAAGAAACTGCATTACCAACCGAGACTTATCTACAGAGAATATTAAGAGAAAACATATATGTGCATACATGCATAAAGTGGCAAGAGAGAAAGATGATACTCTAGATAAGTATATATGTATCTTAATAACGAAAACAAAACGTTTTATCTATAGTATTATTAGAATTTTCATAATTTAGAAACAGCTATTTCAGGAACTATGCTGTTAACAATATATTTATTTGTTAATTTTCATATTATTGATCCTAAATAATAAAAAAAGATGAGCACAAATAAAATTAAAGCATAAACATAAACATCAAAAATTAATGCGTACATTTTATCATCTGTGCCACAAAACCAGTATAGTTCGTGCACTACATCGTTGCGCACGCTGCTATGGGAACGATGTGTTGTTTACACAATTTCATTTATCTGCATTACTTTATTAGAATTATATATATAGTTTCAGCGTAGTTTTAATTTATTTTATGATATTATATATGTTATTAAAATAGTGAACTTTTTTAGAAATATAGTTATTGAAGCTATATCCTTTGGAAACCTTCATTTCATTCACATTATCAAGAGCATATTTGTTCCAAGTGAGAACATAAACTTCTTCCATTTTTAACTTTTGTGAGTTGTAGCTAGTGGAAGAGCATTCGTGCCGGCGGAGTTATTGCTTGCAACATATGCTTTTTTGACAATGCGATTCCAATTGTTTGAAAGAGTTTTGTGGTGCAAGTTTACTAGATCTATGAAATTAATATGGTTATGGATGTACGTTTATAAATCAAGACGTATATTTGTATATGTTTTAGGTGTATAAATATATCATTGATCATTCTATAAACTTCTATATTCTATAAGGTACTTTAATTGGACATACATATGTATATACATACGTATGTTTGAATGTATTTAAATTTTGGTGTCAACAAAACATGTTCACATTCATGTAAAAATGTTATTTCCCAAAAAGTCTATTTACGGTACCGTCACGTTACTTCTTAATATTAAACGTTTTTTTGATATTTCGAACAAAATGGCTGTAATTTATTTAGTTAAATTTCAAATAAAAAAATTAATAAATTGATAAATATTTTATTTTGAAAGAGAAGTGAAAGTACTAATTTCCCACAGGAAGTTTTGAACCTATGCCACATCAAATTTAAAAGAAAAAAATCATAAATACATAAAGCATTAAAATATATACATATATAGTTTCAGTTTTTTACCATTAATAGTAAACATAAAAGCGTCCGTTGTAAATCCATGCTTAATTTAAATATTTACTAAAACCTTTCTGAATGAAAAATTTAAAAAAAAAAAGAAAAAGACAAAAGGAAAATTTAAGGTCCGCTGAGACTCGAGCCCGGCCCAACCATTGTCTTTCCTTTCCATGCTGTAGTTTTCGTTTTATTACGAAGTCACCCACACAGGCAAAGTATTTGGAAATTATAACAATAAACAGAATTATTTTTTATTATTTAATTTAATTTTGTTTATTATAATTTAATTTCGTTGTAAAAAATTTCATAAATTTTAGCATCGTTTATTTAATATAATGTAATTTTGTTTAATTTATTTTAATGTAATTCCGATTGTTCATGCTATATTTATGGTGAATACATATTCCAAAGTATCAAGAACTGATCGGGCTTACATTAAAATAAAATTGTGGAACACGGCATGTCATATAAAAATAATGAAAAAAAAATATTATCAAAAGAATAAAACTATATGCATCCAAAGTTAAAGCTTTTAGTAATGTTTCAGGATTTTTCCATAGTTAGAACCCAAGAATTCAGGTATTTCAACATAAAAAAGGAATAAAAACAAAACTTGAGTTGATCAGTGTTATTTTGATTTCCTTATAAATTTATTACAATTCGGTTAAAATTGTTTTTATTATATCATGCTTAATTTAATTTAATTGTTGTTTTGTATCCATACAATTATATATATTGTAATTTAAGCTAATTTTATTCTATTTATTCTAATTTAATTTAATATTATCTTAACTAATTGTACAATATTAAAATTTTCTGCGGTTTTCACCGTTGTCAATGCTCAAAACCTTTCTCTCATGAACTCCTAATGCCGACATCTTAAGTTGTCAGCGTTCATGCTGAGATATTAATCCACACATACATACTAAGTAAATAATTTAAAATTATAACAATAAAACTATAGTTTAAAAATTTAATAAAAAAACTTACATGTAATATAATCTAAGTACAAACAGTAAATAAGGGTAGCAGAAAAAAACTGTTGTAATACTAAAAAACGCACCAATTCGAGATAGAAAAAAAGCATAAATGTCTTTGTTTTCTGTCATTTTCGTTATGTTTCTACTTAAATTTTTTTAATATTTTTTTTTTTTTAATTTTATTTCGAGATTTGGGTGATTGTAGTGAGTTCGGAAAATGAAAGACTGTTATCAGGGACAATGAGTCTCGCTAATGACAGAAGACTATTGCTGCAGTTTACAGTTTACCTACAGTGCAGTTTACCTACAGTCGTTCATTCAAGAAAATCTTCAAAAGATCATTAGATGATGTTCAATAGAAAATTTTCTAACATAATGATAAGTCTCAATTTCCTGTATTTTTATCAAAAGAAAAAACTGTATACTTCCAAAAGTGGAGTTCTTGGCAATTTCCTAGTATTATTTTTATAGCCAAATTGAAGGAATCTGGACTTGTGATGACCAGTGTTATTTAAATTAATTTTATTTAATTTTAATTGATTAAATTTTTTTTATTAATTTATGTTTCTTTAAAACTATTTTATTATACCTAATTAAGCTTATTACTTTGGTATAAACTAAATGTTATTTGTATTGAACTAAATATCTTATACTCCGTCATTGAAGCTTAACATCGTCCGTGTCACCGTATATCTCAGCTCGTCAATCAATCCATCGTCTTCTTTTTTCGACGATATCATTGCGTATTTTCTACTACTTTATTTTAAAGCCTGTCCACCTTTTCTTCAGTCCTTAGGATGCTTAAGCAAAATATGAGAAATCAATACGCATTTGTAGTTATAAGAAACTGTTCTTGAACTATTTTGATCTGAACTACTTTCTTTCGAAATTGAATTCGATGTTGAAGAAGAAAAGAGTGTGGTTCGACTTAATCTATCATTTTAGTGACTGTGTAGAAGATGATGAGGCGCTTGTTTTATCATCAATTCGAGATATGCAAAAGAAGTTAGATATAGATTACCATTTGAGAGATGTTGTAAATTTGCACCGTTGAATAATTTCACAATTTTTTTGAAATACTTTAAGACATCTGTAAGCTCTTCTATAGCAGAAAAGACTTGTTCAACACTTAAAAAAACTCGTCCCTGCAGTCGTGGCATACAATTTGCTTTGAAGTATTCATTATACTACTTGCACTGTCAGTACTAAATTTAATTCGGTCAAATGTGTTGAACACTTTTTTCAGTTTCATATAAATATAATTTTTCACTCCTTTCCAAACCGATTGATTTCAGTCACCATATCGAAGAATTTCAAGATCATCTGGAAGTGGAATACGACGCAGCCCCGCTGCGCATTACTGCATTAATATGTTATCGAGAATGTTTAACGTTTTTGAGAGCAATATGAAGGTATATAAAAGCTATGGCCAACACTGCAGAAGTTAATTACAAAGTGAACTCTTCTTTATTGAGTAATAAATAATCGTTGATTATATTCCTTACAAATAAGAAATTGTAGAACAAATTTGTTGACTTTTATTTAACAACCCAATGATCGAAGTCCAAGGATTTGTGAAATCATCAAGGTCATTAGCGCAAATCATTACAACACGCACATGTACATACATCCCATATAACAAATAACAAGCTCAGAAACTAAACGAAGCTTTTATGTGAAGCAGCTTTTCGTTGAACTTACTCTCGTTTGTTGAACTTCTAGTTAAGGATGGTAATCAAGGCGAATTAAACAAGGTAAAATTGAATTCGCTGCCTTAGCTCAACTTTTTTCATTCATTGAACTCGCCTAGGTACCATGAAAGCTTAACAAAAAAACTTGGTAATATTTTCATATGTTTGTTATATATGCTTTTGCCCATCTTGAATTCGTCGTAACGTCGGAAAAAAGTAGATCCCAAACTAAAATTAACAAAAGAAGTGTCAAGAAGTCAAGAATGAAATAAATGCTCCTCTTAAAAATCCATCAGTCGTTTGAATGTGAATAAGTATATATAAACTGTATGTTCATCCACTTGTTGGAAAAGCACCAATAAGCACGCCTCAAATTTAAATAGGAGTTCGGCACAAAAACACTTCAGCGGCTATAAAGTGGCAATTATTATTATTATTATTAGCATTTTTCAAAAATATAGCTTTGAAAACATATGTATGTACATATTATAACAAGTAGCACAAACATTGTGATCGTATGACCAGACATAAAAAGTATTTAGAAGATTTAAATCAATTTACTTCCTTTCATAAGGTGTGTAGCGTTTGACTTTATGCCTCTTTCAACCATACATATTTTTTGATACTTTTTTGCTTTATAATCTTGCAAGCAAATTTTTTCGCCCTAAACCCGGTTTTTATGCCTGTCAATGGATTTTCCATAATATATTTGTCTTAATGCCTCTTGAAAATCAAATATGAAACCAGGGGGAATTACGATTTATTAAAAATAACAAATAAACAATTAAAAGAAAGACATCAAACAATAAAACTAAATAACGTGCAGGATTTTCTGGTGGTCGCCTATATATATATATGAAAATGTTATTACCAAACTTATAAACTTACAAAAGTTTCGCATAATTGAGGACTTACTCGTATATATATCAAAAAAGAATTGCTCTAAGTTCTCTGGTTTACTACTTACCAAAAGCTTTTTATTTGCATCACAACTTGCAAGTTATAATACATTTACCAGAGAATAACGTTGTTATAAATTCTCTGGCTCAGTTAGTCTGTGGCTGAAATGGTAGGAAGGTGGTGTTTTAATATTTCTTCGTTTTGGTTAATCGCGCAAATATTTTACGGTAATTGAACTAAGTACTTGGTGTTGAGAAATTGTGGCAAAAGAAATAAATCATAATAAATATATTTTTATACTAAATAGTAAACAAATGTATGTATTTCAGTTATCAGGCAACGTGTGAAGGAGTTGATAGAGAAATAATTATTTTTCTCTGTTTAGTTTTGAGTACTGAATTTTCGTCTGCCTTATACTCTTGCTCAATCTGGATAGGCAGTTTTGTCGATTCACTGCGCGGCGTTCAGTGATTTAGTAACTAATAAATCTTATTTTAAAAAGGGTTGAAGTTATAAAAATTGTGTAAAATGATCTGCAGTCGAATTACAAAAGAACATATTAAGAATAAATGAGCTTTAGTGTTGTACAAATTATTGCATGCAAAAAAGGAAATGTTATATCATTACGTAAAGATGTATAAACATACATATGTATGTGTGCATACGAAAAACCTTCGCATGAGTGGTGAATAACTTTTAGTGAATGTGAGTATGAGAAGTTGTGCTTATTGAATTAAGGCAGCAAGTAAATGTGAACATTTTGAAAGGATTTCCAATATTACTACAACACGTTAACTGAGCGCTAGTGCTACTTTCTCCTTTATGATACCAAATTTTAATTTATAGCGTTAACAATCAATATGTGTGCATATGTACGTATTTATATTTAGATGTATACACTGCAGTACATTTAACGAGTGTATCTAAGAATATCTCATTTAATATAATGATGTGATTATGACAAACTCCTGCCGGTGGCAAAATAACAGCAGACATTTTAAAAGTTCGTTAAATAATACTTTATCTCTTGAATATCAATGCAATATATTTTTAATAAAAAATAATTCTCTTCAGGTGAAATTAAAAGCGAGATACAATTTTTATTACTGGACGAAAAATATTATATTTATTTACCTTTCAAAGCAAAATTAATAGAATTTTTTAAACAAGTGAATTGATAATTTATGTAAATGAAATAAAACATTAATTAATGTAATAAAGTAACGAGACTTCTTAAGATGAATACGCATAATTATAAAAGCTTACTATTTACTACTACTAGGAACCTGCATAGTCACCAACAACAATACCAGTCTTGAAACTCATCACAGAATAACTCTTACCAACAGGTGCTACTTTGGACTGAGTATGCTATTGAAAAGTAATGTCTTATCTCGACAAACATAGACGAAACTATTTTATTTTGTACCTTTTGGATGTCTTGAACAGGAAGGTCTTGCGGAGGATTTTTGGTCCTCTAACTAAGGGCGGCAGCAAATGCGCAGACTATGGAACGATGAAGAGCATGGGATGTACAGCGACTAAAAAGACAGCGGTTACGCTAGCTAGGTCGCGTTGCCGGGATGAATGGCACTCTAGCTTTGAGAATATTCGATGAAGGTCCTGTTCTTGGAAGCAGCGGAAGAGGAAAACCTTCACTCCATAGGGAAGGTCAAGGAGAGAGAATGGCTTCACTTGGCTCCACCAAAAATATATATCTAAACTGAACCAAAATAAAGGAAAGTCATAACAACGTGTGGGCGTGTCTGATAAGAAAAAACTAATTTGAGTCAAAGAAAAGTAAATATGCGTACTCATTTATAAACATATGGCTACTCCAGAACGTTCTGGTGGTAAGGTCGTTTTTATGACTTTTTCTTTAAAGTAAACTATGGTTAACCAGTTTTCTTTTAGAAAATCAATCAAATTCTTGAAATAAGACAAAAACTACCACTTGAAAATGCAGTTCATAAACATAGATTAGTTAATTTTTCCTGCTTGCAAAAATTTTCCCACTGGGATTTATGCAGCATGTTGGATTACAAGTGTACGCTATCCACACTTTACAAAAGTGATGATATTACGAATTCGATATACTTGTTTTATTTTAACAAGCTGAGAAGTCGAGAAGTCTGTTAAAAAACTAAGTTAAAGTTTCAAATTTCGCGGGCATATATTTTTTGCATTCGTATTTAATAATTTCATATGATTCTATTGTTTTGCTTGTGTATAAAGGTCGGAAGTTTTTTTGATAGCGGATTTTCCACCGCTGGCGCATGTATGATATATCCGGTGACCAGGGGCGAACGCAGAATTTTTTTCGGAAACTATCAAACTTTTAATTGAATTGCGCAATAAAACAAGACTGCATTGTAACAATAAATTCCACGTTAATCAAAAAGTTTCAATTGATTCAGTTGACACATCTAGAAATGTCAGAAATTATTTGCCGTTTTATGAAAACGAAAGCAAAATCGCTTTGTTAAGTTTATTTCTAATATATTCGAAATACACGTAACAAAGCCGCTGTATTATATTTTATATTGATATTCTTTTAAATGTGCTAAGTTCACATTATTACACAAAAAAGGTATATCGCTATTGAGTTATGGAAAACTTTATTTAATATTTTAAATAAAACTATCCACATGTTATGTCAAAAAATGTTTTGTAATGTTTGAATACTCAAAACGCTCCCATGGGTTCGCGCCTGCAGGTAACGACTATCTTGGGGGGGAAAAAAATACCAATTTTTAAATAAACACTTTCTTAAATATTTTTTTTGCATACTTCGCATGTAATGTAGACGTATAACTCACTTATTATTATTTTTTCAATGGAAAATTAAAAGTCGAACTACATTCGTCTTATTTTTTAATAATCCTGCTATCGAATCGTCATACGAGTACACCCGCATACATATTTACGTGATTGTAGAGTTGGTCACGTATTTAAAAACATATTTGCAAAAAAAAAAAAAAATTTCAATGCATACGTATACACAAACAAATGGACTGGGATACAATAGGTATGTTCATTATTAAGATTTTTGGTGTGCATTAAAGGCGAGGATAGGTATGTGTATTTTGCTGCTTACATTCATTTCGGATAAACAAATCCAATACAAAAATACGAGGTCTGTTCAAAAAGTATTGAAAATGTATTTCATAAGCAAACTTTAATTTATTCAAACTAGACTTACTTACTCACTTTACTGGCGTAGACACCGCTTAGGCGGCATCAAATTGAAGAAATCACACGACAAAGAGTCCCACTGCTCGTTTGGTACCAAACGGCCCGGAGAGGTCCTTCCTAATTCTTACTGCGCTTATGGTGTTGTCCAGCGTTAGCTTACCCAGCCGTATAGGCTTTAAAATCGACGAAGAGGTGGTGGGTATCGATAGTCTTTTCACGGGTCTTTTCCAAGATTTGGCGCATGGTGATTATCTGGTCAATGGTTGACTTACCAGGTGTGAAGCGACACTGATAAGGTCTAATCAGTTTGTTGACAGTAGAGTTCAGTCTTCCACACAATACGTTTGACAGGACTTTATAGGCGATATTAAGTAGGCTTATCCCACAGTAATTGGCACAGACTGTGGGGTCCTCTTTTATATGGATTGGGTAGAGCACACTTAAATTCCAATCGTCGGGCACACTTTCGTCCGACCATATTCTGCAAAGCAGCTGATGCATGCACCTTGTTAGCCGTCATGTTTGAATAGTTCTGTCAGTAGGCCGTCAGCTCCCGCCGCTTTGTTATTTGTTGAGCGGGCGATTGCCATTTGAACTTATTCATGGTCAGGTAATGGAACGTCTTTTCCTGCCTGTTTTCTCTCTACTGCGGCACGCTAGTCCTCATCGTACCAACTATTTTGCGACTTTTATGAAATCCAATAGTTTCGTTTGCAGCTGTACGTAAAGAGCTTGAAATGCCGTCCCACAGGTCCCGTATTCCGAGTTGCTGATCAGTGCTCTCAGAGGCCAGGAGTCCAAGTCGAGTAGAAAATTATTCGGCAGTCTGCAAGTCGAGTAGAAAATCGTTCGCAGTCTGTTGTGACCGTAGCTTTTCAACGTCGAACTTTGCTTGTGTTTGTTGACGGGCGTTTTTCTAAACACAGAGGCGCGTGCCTATCTTCGCTGCAACAAGATAAAGGTACGAGTCGATGTTGGGTCCTCGAAGTGTACGGGCGTTAAGAACACCGGATACATGTTTACCGTCTATCATAACATGATCGTTCTGGTTTTGTGCCTTTCAATCAGGGGACAGCCAAGTAACTTGATGTGTTTTTTGTTTTTGTGCTGGAATCTAGTACTACAACCCATTAGGGGATGTTTCGTTGTGAAGGATGAGTTTCCCAACAGTCACACCGTAGATATCATCTTTGCTCACCCTGGTATTAAGATCGCCCAGCACGATTTTCACATCGTGTCGGTCATCGTGTCGTTACGCCCAAATCGTCCTTCTCTTCCGTCGGAGCGAGGCGCTCTTTCACCGGGTTGAATGCCAGTACTCGACGACGAGGTCTCTCTCCCACTACAAATCCAACACCAAATTTACGCTTTTTTATATGGCCGCTGTAGTAAATGTCACAAGAACTAACTTGCTTTTATCCATGCCCCGTCCATCGCACTTCTTGGACGGGACCGGACATTTCAGGTGCGTGACCTCAATCGTCCTTATAGTATTTACTTTCGTTGAACATCGACTGAAACTGAAGCGGATTTTTGTTGGACTTATTAAGAATATGTTGCATAGTGTTGATTGTTTTCATTTCTTAATCGTTTTCATTTATTTATTGCACCTGTTGTTGAAAATAATACCTAAAATTTTCAACTTGTCACAAGGAATAAGACTTGTGTTTCCTGACAGTACGGTACATACAACAATTGTGTTTTCGACATATACGAATGTACCGATTTTTTATGGCGATAGGTTAGCCCCTGATTAATCGCACCAAGTTGAAATGACATGAAAAAGGTTACTTAAGTTAATTACGTGGCATATTTCTTTTTGGCTTAATTATTGTATTGAAATCGTCTGTCTTGGCGCAAAAGTCAATTTTCTAGTAAAAAGAAATTACTCGTGCTATAAACTTATGATTTGACTAAAATTAAAAATATCGTGAATGACTTTGGGGCGACAATTCATTTGATTAATTGGTATATTACTGTCATACACCTTTTCAAATTCAAGGGATATGATTGTTAAGTGGTCTTTTGGTGAGAGCAGATTATCAGCTGTAGATTTTCCTCTGTTAATCCCATTTGCTTGCTGTTCAGTAATTTGTTTTTTGTCACAAGCCACCACAGCCGATTAAGAGAAACAAATGGATAAGGATATGGATAAAGCAAGAGAGATGCTTCTTGAAAATTTCGGGAGAGTTATGAATCATCAAGTAAGTTATAGAAGGTGAAGTTGTTACATCACATGATTGCTTGTTCTTCCTTTCATTTTACCAAATTACATAAACAAAAAATATTAGAAAAAATGTTTTGACAATTCGAATCTATGATTACCTACATATATGTTTGGTGCTTTGTAACCGCTGGAGCGATTTTCGGTCTCGCTCGAGCTCCTACTACAATTTGTGGTTTTGTGTCTGGATGTTTTTCCAACAAATGAATGCACCTGCAAGTTCATACTACGTACGGAATACATAAAATTTAATAAATAAATATAACATTTAAACCAAGTCATAAAATAAATTGGAAAATACTATGAAATGATATTAGAAAATTAAATGGCTATTTTATATTAATTCGATTTAAATATTTTTATTTTAATATTAATTAAATATTTTGTATACTATAAATATGTGGGTATGCACGTAAATATGGGCATTAATATGAATTACCATTAAGTCATTTAAAAGCAAATAACTTCAAATATTTTCATTCATTCATAAACACAAGCCATTCATACTATCAATCGAAAAACAACTCCATATGCGTAGCTCCTCTTACTCCTCTGCGCGCTACTCTATTCAAAAAGCTATTTGCTATAAGAAGAAGAAGCATAGGTGCAATAAAAACAACTGCCGCATAGAAACCCTGTACCCTTCTACTCTTCATCGACAAACAGTTTCCTTTTGCTAAAATTCAGAATTCGATGTTCAACTCACGCCAAAGTGAAAACACATACTTTTAAGCATTTTAGAATGTATACGAAAAACGCGCACAATCTTAATAACGCGCAAGTATGCTAACTTCTTTTCACTCGCAACCCGAATCAACAAGCAATTCCTTGGCGGCGATTTACAATTTGGCAATTTCAAAAAACAAACCAAAAAAAAAACGCGAAAAAGAAGCGAGAGAAGGATTTGAACCCGCGCAGCTTGGGCAAAAATCAAGCGACGTGAACCACTGCGCCAACGAACACTTTTATTTTCCATTGGCATAATTGGTATTTATTTAGATCGCAGTCAAAAGTATTGGCAAAATTTCAAATAATATTCAAAAAAATGACTGTGTGTGTATGACCATATTTAATTCGACATGTGGACTATGAGGAACAAATGCAATTATAATTTCAGTCATTCATAGTGAAAACTCTAGAATTTTTTTTTATGTAAATATTTATGCAAATTATTTATTTACATCGATTTTTTAAATATGTTTTAATATATTTCATGGTTTTTAAAAATATAATTCTTTAGCATATCAAAATTAATTTTTTCTGTTAACTTTTACAGTGGCTGTTAAAAAAGCATAGTGAATCCCTTTCCCGGTGTTTTTCAGAAAATGTCTGAAGCCGGTTCGATGTTGCACCGAATTTGCACCTTCTCGTTATTATAAGTTATCTGGTTGCGGTGTAAAAAATGCCAGTCGATAAAATGAGAAAATGTTGGAAGCTCAACTATTGCAAATTTATAGTTACCATTTATTTTCTTTCCGTGCAGGTACATTTCTAATTTCATAGCAAAGTCTCACGAGCCTACATCGACAGTGCAATTCTTTATCATCAAAGTCTAAGTTCACAAGCGACTACATTTGTTGCGGTGGTAGCTTCTCGAAAAAGAGAGATCAATGTTTTGTTTTCTTATTTGTCATAAAATTTCACATATCTTTATTTTCATAATCTTTGGATGGTGGCATTTTGTTGTAATTCACTAAAAATATTAACAATAGTACGGTTTTGTTAATTGACATACATATATTTTGATCTTAATACAAATTAATAGACAAAAGTTTCTCTGTCTTTTATATGTTTGGCATTTTTTACCAGCCGAGAAAGATTTATGTATGCACATCGTTGAGGCTATTTCAAATTAGAGGTTAAATGAAATTAAATATAATATTAGTTTTTTGTCAAACTTTTATGAAATTTGAACTGCACAAATATGTATACCAAGATATGTATGTGCAACATGTGAATGTGAACTTGTTTATATAAAGATATGCAAATTTCAACCAGATGAAGGTAAACGCCCAACACCAGATGCTAAGTTGAGGAATTACTTTATGCATATAAAAGCTTACATTTTTTCGCATGTAAAGAACAAATAATACAGAATACTAGGCAGTTAATACTACAGATAAAACAGGCTTGTTTGAAAAGAATTTATTTTTTTTGCATTAAATAATGAGTTGCACTTACTCTCAGCAGTATTTGCCTATGAACGCGATTAAGAAATCATTAAATTTAAAATTAAATTTCTGTAAAATATATTTGACTGTAAAATATATTTGAGATGTATAGCAGCTTTATCCTCATAATGGAGATGAAAAATGTTTTTTGTTTTATTGTTATAAAGGAATACAATATGCATCGACAATCTGTACCATTTCTTTGATAATATTTTCCAACAATGGGAATATACTTTGAAATTGGCAAATTTTATAATATCTTCAAAGCGCCAACAAATTTGAAATTCGTGAGTACAATAAAATATAAATCAGTAAAATCAGTTCAATTTGCTACATAGCTTTAAAAAGAATTCTTCAGATGCCTGGTTGTACGGTTAATGGGTGTCTAATATATGCAAATAAGGAATTTCTGATAAAGTAACTGACTTCAATGAGGAATGCTTCCCATATTATATACATATATACAAACACATATGAAATATACATTGTGCTTATGTAAAATTTACATATTCCCCTCTTAAAAGATATATTTCTGCTTAAGATAGTTGGGAACAGTGTTGCAAGAATTTTTAGCGGTCCGAAAAAGAGAAAAAAATAACTAAGGGCTTAGCCACAAATTATTTTTTGATTTTTTTTATGAAGAAACACTCATACGCAACAAAATATAAATTTCTTCCATCTAAAAATTGAAACTAATTCGTTTTTTCTACTAAACCAACAACGTCGACTTTCCAAAAACGTAGAACACACCCTCCAAATAACAGGTAATACGCTACAAAATTTTTGGACCTATGGTCCATTGAAGTAATCCAATAGGTACTCGTCAACTATTGGGTTGGTAGCAGATGATGGTTCGTGTTTTAACAATCGGAATTTCTAAATAAAGATGCAAAATAAGATTTTTACCCATATAGGGAAAATGAACTGAAATTAAGTCGGTTTCATTTCGTTTGTAAGCACTGCATATACTCGTAGAACAAAGTAGTAAATTTAAATATGTTATATTGTATATTTATTGGCAATAAGTTATTATCTTTTAATTTATATGAAAATTATTATTAAGTTTGTACGTTTTGACCGAAGCGAATTGTGTTTGAAACTTAATTCTTACTACTTACTAATTCTTACGCCACCAAAATAAAATAAAATTCAAATAAAAAAGAGTTTGCTTGCAATGAGACCAACTTCTCGCGCTACAGTAAAAACCTCTAACCACTGGGCTGTTGTGACGATGTAGCAGATATAGCAATAACAAACGGTTCATACATTTATTTTAATAAGTTATTATCTCTTATTTAAGATATATTTTTTTTTATACATAATTTATTTATTTACTGGATCTGCTATAATATAAGCCCAACAGCAAGTGCACAAATCTTAAAAACTAAATTACAAACATTTTAGCTCGAACGTACCATGGTGCCCCCGTTAGTGCTCTAAAATTTTGGACTGGAACCTCTGTATTTTATCAATATTAGTTTCACAGGCCGTACTCCACAGTTGAAGTTTTTATTTAAAAGCCAATTTAAACTAGCTACTTTTAATTTTATGTGTAGTATTTTTGCCTCTATGTGTCTCTTCCAAGTGCGACGTCTATCTAAGTGTATACCAAGATATGTAACATCATTTACTTGGGGAATGTTTATACTATTTAAGCGAGTTGCAGGACATATTTAAGATATGAATAAATTATCAAATATTTTGTTTTAAACAAACTCGTCCCCTCCTTACAATTTTTTCTTTGCATAAACATATTGCCAGCACTGCTTATTTCAGTGGGTTGGAGTTTTACGATTTTCGTTTGCATCATTATCATGCAAGCAAATGTGCGGAGGATTTCAGCTCTAAAAATATTTGATCGGACTAATACTTAGTACACTATATGTAATATATGTATATATGTATATTCAATTAATAATTATATGCATAAATGTATATATATATATATATATATATAATATCACAATTGGACAAGTGGGTCTACCTACGCATAAATGTGTAGGCTATGAGAACTGACAAGTTTTAATATCGATTGGTGCAGCTAGTTACGTTTTAAAAGTGTTCAGTTAATTTTAAATGTTCATTAAATTTAGTAATTGAAATTTTACATCCCCTCTGTTGACAGATTCATATGATATTTGGGTTTAAGGGCTGAATATGGATATCATATAAAAAGCATATCTGGTAGAATTTTACGCACTATGGCATTCGAATAATGGATTTAATGGAGATAAAATATTTTATCATACTTGGCGAACTAAATTTTTCTTTCTATTAAATAATTAAGTAATGGTTCTTTTTTCCAAACAATTTATATATAGCATCTGATGAGTAAATCAGACGATCGCCTTTGTAGAAGGTGCGTAAAATGTGATAGTTACATTAATCTTGTACATTAATATAAAAAGCATACATCAGAATTTGTTGCTATGGCAAATGAGTTTATACATTAGTTGTTTATGAGACGGTCCTCTGTAATTTTTCTCTACATTTAAATGAACAAGCTAATTTTAATACGTTCATATGTCTGTGAAAAAGTTACGACATAAGGTCACTTTATCCAACCATTAGCACCTGATAAAAATTCAAAGTTGAACACAATATCATTTTTTTAATTTAAACCATATTTATAAAAGAATCAGAACTTTTGTAAAGCAAGGTGATATTCTTTCATCAAATATCATTTCAAATATTAATGATAAGCTTTTCTCTTTTCAGGCGCTAAAATCGTGCATTATTTTCGCGCGAGAAACAAAGTTTGCTATGAATGAAACAAGGTGTGGTAATTTGATAACATCGTTAAAATGGACAGATCCAGCGAATTTAATTTCGTTAGCTGTTCTTTTATTTATCATACTGCTAGTGATTTCCGGAAATTCGCTAGTTATAGCAGCAGTATTTTGTTCAAACAAATTGCGAAGTGTCACGAATTACTTTATAGTTAATTTAGCTGTGGCAGATTTATTAGTAGGCTTAGCAGTTTTACCATTTTCGGCAACTTGGGAGGTTTTTAAGGTAAGTTGGAGACAAAATATCAAAATATCTATATTTAAATAAATAGTGGAAAAATTGTATTATAGTTATTAATGAATTGAGAAGTGCTAGGCAGATTTAGCTATTTTGGTTGTTCCTGCATCCCGGAAACGTGAGGTACCCTTGTACAAGTGGTCTCAACCAATCCATGTGGAGCCTAGGGTGACGGCTAAAAAAGAAGAAGTCTCAGTTTAATGTTTCGCTGAAGTCAGCCCGACGCGTAGTCGAATGAAAGCATACCCGTCGATTAGAACCTCAACATGTTCTGATCAATCGATAAAAAGGAGGACCTCACAGTCCACCAATTACCGTGGGATATACCTCCACAATATCGTATATTAGGTGTAGTAAAAATCAATCCATTATTTTTGCACAACATTGAGTGGTTTAATTTTTTTTTTCGTATCCAGCCTTATTTAAATGGTTCCAAACGGTTTGTTGTGCAGTTTTTAGCTCTTGTGCAATCGAAAACGTGCTTATATGACGGTAGGACTTGACAATGTCCATGATTTAATTTTTTTACTTTAAAATTACCGGAATGAAACCGGAATTATACATGATTGACTGTAACAGTATCAGGACCATAAACGCTATTCAATTCTTCAGCTGCCTGGCTTTTAGTACGAAATGTCGTCTTTCTAACGCCTTCTAGCAGAACCTGAACGGACTTATGCAGCACATACGTTCAGATAAAAAACGCCATATATAGGAAAAATGATGGATTTTTTTTTACTACGCCTAATATAAGGTCCTATCGAGCGAATTGAGCGATACTAAAGCCCACAGTCAACATACTGATTTGCCCTTATCAGTCTGGTTTTAGACCTGGTAAATCAACAATTACCAGATAAACATATGTTCACCACGCACCTAATATTGGAAAATACCCGCGAAAAGAGAATTGAAACACACCACCTCTTTGTCGATTTTAAAGAGCTTTTGACAGCTGGAAAAGGAGCTGGGTCTATGCTGAGCTGAACAAATAAAATATATCTTCTACAAGAGTGTACAACTACTGGCGTACGCTGAATATATTAATATCTTTTGGATTGAGTGTGTTAATGAGCCAATACTCCAAAGTGTGAATTAGTTCATATTACTAAAGCAAGTTCCTATTTGGAGGAGTTACTATATTGTTTTAGTATGTGATTTCCGGCAGACTTTACCAGTAATGCCCAGCGGAACAAGAGAGGACGAAGTTAAGCATGCAATATTAGCTTCGGTTTGAGAGAAGATGTTACTACAGGACAGTTCTCAGACATGTAACATACGTGAATGTGTATTGTATGCGGCATGCTCCAAAGCAAGCTCACGAAGTAGCGTGGTGATTCTAGCACCTCACTGAAAATCAAAAATATTATCAACAAAGAGGTGCTCCAAAAAATTCAAGACATCGTTTTCATATGCAAAAATATATCTGAATTTTATTTTATTTTCATCATTATATTTCATAATGGATTAGGTTTTACATTAAATTAAATATCTTAAAAAGCCATTAAATGCTTATTAAATGCATTTTAAAATTCCATTCCGACGAAGTCTCGGGTAAACTCTACTTCATTCATATATATATATATACATAAAGAGTTATAGGGAACGAAGCCTCAAAACTTCGATCATGTATTCAGCAATGCTCCTAGCATTCAGAAATCAGATGTTCATGTGACAAAACAAAAAAAGTTTCTTATAATTGCGTTCTACCAGCGCAGAAAATGTAAATCCCTCCGTTTATATTTCTCACATAAAATAAAGAGATCATCATAAATATTCACAAACAGTTCGGAGTTGGCTTAGAATAAATTTTAGGTCAATCCAATTGTTGGAAAAACATCAAGATACATACTACTACTACATTGGAGCGGGAGCTCAGCCGAAAACTCCATCAGCGGTTATAAAGTCCGAATTACATAATATATAATATGTGTAAATGTATTTTTTATAAATATAATAATGTTTATATGTACATATAATCTAAATAAGATAAATTACCAACAGCTACCCCACAATAATCGCACCTCGTCAGGTTATATTTACCAATTCTTCCAAATGTTTCTATGTTACTCTTATATACTCGTACATTCAAAAAACCAATTCAGTCCTCTCAATTCGGAATAAAACTTCGGGAAAAACTTCTTTCAACGAGTTATAAATAATCCATTCAACATATTCATATACTAGTTTTACAAACGGATTTTTATGTGATAGGTGTAAAATAAATACTTATGTTTTGAAACCTTCTACATTTTCCTTCTTAGTTTTTTGTATGCAGTTCATATATTAATACCTACCATATTCTAGGTATGGATATTTGGTGACATCTGGTGTCGCATGTGGCTTGCTGTTGATGTTTGGATGTGCACAGCGTCAATATTAAACTTATGTGCAATCTCTCTGGATAGATATGTGGCTGTTACGCGACCTGTTTCATATCCGAGTATAATGTCGACTAAACGAGCTAAATTCTTAATTGCTGTAGTTTGGGTGCTATCGTTTGTAATATGTTTCCCCCCGCTTGTGAGTTGGACCGAGCACAAGGTAAATAAAAAATTTAAATATAAGAGTTTTGTTTGGATAAAATTTAGTATTGATTTCCTGCAAGCGTTCTGTAACACACCAAGTCGCTGTAGCTGTGTCATCCGCATTATTCTTTCGTGCTTTGACTCTCTGTAAACACATACACATAGACAAGAAGTTATGCAGCAACTTCGCATACGATGTTGCTCTGGGCAACAGTAATTAGATGAATCATTCCCGAAATAATCCCGCTGTTAATTTAACCCCCCCTCTAATTAAATTTTTCTCACCACTCAAACAACTACATCGGTTTCAAGGATTTCTAAGTTCCATATAAGTGAAACGGAAATCATGCCGATTTGTAATAAATAGCAATCGTACGGAAAAGAAATAACAAAAAAATTTTACACAAGGCGAATATATTTTCGGTTTACTGCAACACCGATTCGATTTTAAAATATTTTTGTAAATACGTTTCAAATTCAGTATTGAAAAGTAGCAATATGTTATTTAAGTTGCAATCTAATGGCTTCATATTCTTTCTATTTACATATGTATATATCAGTCAACGCACATGCGGGCAGATTACATGACGTTTTATTTGACCACCACAACGGTGGCCTCTATACAATACCAGTACAATCGATCGCAATTATTTTTGGATGCAACACCCGTTATATCGATGCCAGATGGTTTTAATTATCATGACCCCGATCAACTATCCATTGCGAAAGAAGACTTTTTCTACGAAGAGCCTTTTTGCCCATATAAATGTGAATTGACAAATGATCGCGGTTATGTAGTATATTCGGCATTAGGATCCTTTTATATTCCAATGCTTGTGATGCTTTTTTTTTATTGGAGAATATACAAGGCGGCAGTGAGAACAACACGAGCCATTAAACAAGGATTCAAGACCACGAAAGGTACTCTTATTATTTATCTAAAATTCATGCATTTACCTAATCCATTTTCTTTTGTAAATAGTATTTTGGTTACAAATCGAACTACTACTGTTAAACATATTAATAATGCAGATTTGAAGTTGTAGTACCCTCTTTAAAAATATTTTGTGTTGTCTGTATTATAAGAAAGCAGCTAATCCTGGAGCTAGAACATCCTTTTGTACTACATATATCTACATATGTATAAAAGAAACTATACATCCGTAAATATTACACTTGATTAAAATTGGTCTGATATTCTTTGAAATCATCTCCCAATCATCAAATTATTTAGTTCTTTCTCTCTCACGCTCACACTTTCATATCTCTATTTGCTCCCTTTTTACTAATTTTTCCTACTTAAATTGTCATCATTTCAAAATATTTAAATTATTTTCTGTTATTTCACGAACGTATAAATGTACCATGCAAAGAAAACTTAAGTTTGGTGAGTATCCATATTATACTATGTGTTTGTTTTCACTGCTGCTTTAGTGAAAATCAAGTATATGCATTCGCGCGAAGTATCAAAATTCAATTTTTTTTTTGATAAATTTAGTTTAATTCGGCAAGCAACACTTTTTAAAAATTTTCACCAATTGTCACTAAACGGATGAGCCTCTCTGGACCGTCCGATACGAAATGAGGTTTTAGAAAAGATGACCCTTTATTGTATTACTTCATTAATGTATTGCTAGAGAAGAGAATACGATCTGCAGAGCCGAACAAAGAAAATACAATATTCTATAAAAATGTACAATTGTGTCTGTACGCCGATTATATTGATATTAAGGCGAAAGAATCCGCCATAAGTTCTGCTTTCTCCAGAATGGATAATGTAGCGAAGGGTATTGGCCTTGTCATCAAACAGTCATCACGTTCACGTTGACACTAGAAGTTATCGAGAGAAAGCTTTTGCGTAAGACTTATGGTACTTTGCTTCGACCGGAAGTAGAAGAAGAGGAAGACATATTCTCCGTTCGAAATATCAGGTGCAAAAGGACCTGGCTATAGCTAATATTTACGATAGGCATCAAATAGGGGAAAGAAAGGAGGAATAGCGCATTGTTGTTAATTCAGCTATTATTTTCAAGTCAACTGAACCTACGTACATTCATATAAAAATACATATCTTTTTCATATACTATAATGCAAATATGAAAATTTACATTTGTTTTGTATAAACTTACATGCACCATCAAAACACTTCTCATATTCACTAAGTTGCTTATTCCATTGAATCAGTTTTTCACAATTTTCTTTAAATATTGTTGTAAAAATTCACTTGTTTCCATTTGACACAACACCATTAATAGAATTTATCTTCATTCAAAGAACAAGATTATTTCCCTATATTTTCATCTTTTTTTCAAAAATCTTTTTTGACTTTTACTTAATATTTGTGCTACCATTTTCATTTACTAAAAATAAATTTGCAACTTTCTAAAATTACAAAATTTTAATGACAGCAAAAAAGTAAAATAAGAAAAAAGGAAATCATACTCAAAAATCTTTTTTGACTTTTACTTAATATTTGTGCTACCATTTTCATTTACTAAAAATAAATTTGCAACTTTCTAAAATTACAAAATTTTAATGACAGCAAAAAAGTAAAATAAGAAAAAAGGAAATCATACTCACAAAACTTTCAAAAGTTTTGCACTTTACTTTCTGAAATCCAATGGAAGTAAAATTATTTTCAGGCGGCTTCGCATTTTTATGATTGGCAAAAGTAAAATAAGGTATAAATAAAGTCAAACAATCTTTTTGAGGTAATTTTATATTAAGAGAAACTTTGGTAGAATAATTTAAAGGTAGTTCCATTCTTTCTTCTTTAACTCACCTTAAACGTGTTTCGTCTTTTTCGCTTCAGTTTTTTCTCTTAGAAAAACTATCACTTTCAAATAAAAATATTTATCGGGAATTTTAATATCTTATATATTTTAGAAAATCATGTTTTATTTGAACAATCCCTAATAGTTGACTTAATCTAGTATATGCCTTTCATAATCACTATATTATAACTTTAGTATACTCGTATGAATGAAATGGACAGAAAGAACAAAGATTGGACCACCAAAATTTAAATTGGTTTCATAAAGATGAGGACGTGAATGGATTTTACCTGTTTGTTTGAAAAACGGTTTGAAACCAATTTTTCAATAAATCCACGTGTTCAGTATAATATCTTCTTCTTTTTTGAAGTTAAACTACCTTATAAAATGTTTGTATCATTGAATTTATTCCATTTTTAATCCAGTTGGCTTTTTTGATACCCTTTTCTTTCAAGCGAAAATTGAATTTCACTTCAATATATTAACCCTTCGAACTAAGAAAATTTTTTGGAGAAATCTAGGAAAGAAATAAAAAGTTGGCACTCTGATTTCTTTGGAAAGCAAAAGCGTGAACACCTACCAATCTTTGATAACTGACTGGATCCGGAAGGTTTTTACGTTTCGCTATTGAGCAGATTAAAATACGAAGCAAATATTAATTACACTGAGACATGAAAATGAAAATCAATCAATAGTAAAAATTTTATAAATATTAAACATTAAAGAATCGCTAAGTTGTACTTTAACAAAAACATAAAAGAAGAGCTTTCTTCGACCATTCATGACTGTATCAAATTTAAATTTAATTCATTTTTAATACCAATGTGTTATTGATCACTTGTGTGGAGATCTTAAATGTTTTTTGTTGGGTCTATCTATGTGTATTCGACTCACAATTACGAATTTGTAAATTTGAAGTATGTCCCAAAAATTTAATTGTAAAAAGTAATGAAAAGGAATGTTAGAAAAAGAATTCGATTCTCTTTATCGATGGTCTCGAATGTACTCGCAGCATATGTTTTTCCATTTAAAAATTGGTTTTCACAACATTTTCATACCTGTTGATGTAGATAGTTACATATTTATATCGTTATAAGTAATTGATTTTTAAAAAAAATTTCTGTGCAATATTAAATAAAAGATTGTCTTGAATGAAGGATTATAAATCTCGTAGCAAGCTCCAGCAGTAGAGTGTCGTCATACACGTATATGAGTCTCACCGCTCCTGATAACACTCTTCCATTGTCCGAGGGTTCTTTTTACATCTTTCAACCTGCTCCTCACTAAACTACCTTTGATTTGAATGCGAGCGCAGGAAGTCCTCATGCATCGGATTTTGAAAATTTAAAAGCCTGCACTCAATAAGCTCGACGTGGTTATCAAAAAAACCCTTTTTAAATTTTTCTGTACTCATAGTCAGAATAATATTGATGTATTTTTTTCGGGTTAGCGTCGATTTGAATAGTCAGAAGTTTAAGATGTCATTGGATGTGCCTTTTGTGATTTTAATTGAGACTGTTAAGCAGAAGATAACATAGAATTTGTTGCTTCCCACCGCCTATTTTTACAATTACAGGAAACATACAACTTTTTTTCATGTATATTCAGCCAGACCTTCTTAAATCAGCTTACGACTTATTTATAGACAAAAGATTGTTTTTTGTTTGTATTGTATATATGTACATACTAAAATATCCTTTACGTCATAAATATTTACATATCTATTTCCGTATGTATGTACATATGCCCATGCATGTAAATTTCTTAAAATGAATAATTTACAGCAGCTAAATCCATCAGTTTTGCATTGAATTTGAAGTATACGTGCTAAGTAGTCAGGGATTTTAATAAAATTGTAGAAATTCGGCCAATGAGACAAATATAATCTCAAACAATTCAATTCTTTAATTTTTTAAATGTGTTCATATATTTCAATATTTGTACTCTTAAGTAATCGTCATATTTTCGAATGATTCCTCGACTGTTGGCTTTAAAGCCATATTAGTTGCACAATCATCCTTTAAAATGAGTTTGATTAGATGTTTTAAAAAAATTCATTCCCAAATTAATTTAGTGTTATGGTAAAAGAAACTGCTGTCGAACCTACTTTGTTTCTTCCAGGTAGCTCTCGTGATCAAAGAAGCAGTCGAGCGGACCAATCTCAAATGATACTACGCATTCACCGCGGCAGGCCATGGAGCAGTACCCAACGGACGCCGCTTTCCATGCACTCTATGTCGTCTACACTTAGCGTGAACAGCAATGGCGATGATGCCATCTCCATACCTCCAATTCAGTGTAGCAACTCTCATACTCCAAGGCGAGCCACTTCAATGCGAATACATCGCCAGCGTCATGAAAATATTTCTATAAAAGTATCGTTCCCTTCATCCGAAAATGTCCTCGATTTAAGCTCACTCTTTGTAAGCTCTCCTCCTCCTAACTCTAATTCTGTGACAGAAAATACGCGTAATAAAATCGGTTTTATAAATGCTAGACGGCCTTGCTTCAAAACAAGCCTTTTTGGGATTGGAGAAACTTCTTTCAATACGGATACATGTGCTAACAGTGTGACTGATAGTCAGCGGAACGTGAAGGCGGCTATTGATGGAAACATAAGCGGTCAAATTAATCCATCAGGAAAGAAGCGCGGTGGTAAACGCAGTGCTAAATTCCAAGTAAAGCGATTTCGCATGGAGACGAAGGCGGCTAAAACACTTGCCATTATCGTTGGTGGTTTTATCTTTTGCTGGTTGCCTTTTTTTACTATGTACTTAATACGTGCTTTTTGTGAAGAATGCATTGAGCCCACTATATTTTCCGTGCTGTTTTGGCTTGGCTACTGCAATTCAGCTGTCAATCCCCTCATTTATGCCCTGTTCTCTAATGAGTTTCGTATCGCTTTCAAGCGGATTCTCTGCCGTTGTGTATGTACCCGCAGCGGATTCCGGGCATCTGAAAATTTCCATATGATTGCCGCACGTGCATTAATGGCACCGGCAACATTCCACAAAACAATCTCTGGTTGTTCAGATGATGAGGATGGTGGCATAAATTTTAGTTAAATCAATAATGGTTGTTAGGAAAAACTCCTTTACATAAAATGCGATGTATTTTTAACTTCAATATTAATATGTTATTTACTACAAATTTTTTTACCGATATTTTAAGTTTTATTTTTTTTTATTTTAGTTTTCCTACTAAGCTCTTATTTGTGAGTATTATAAAAAGAAATAACGTATCTGAACAATTAATTATTTGGATGCCACGCATATTTTACAGTTGTTCGATATATCATTATCAACATTTCACTTGCAATGGGTAACTCTATGTTGGGGTATTAGGCTCTTATGATAGAAAATTAATCAGACTCTCTAAACTTCATTACTAAAATTTTGGGGTTCTTTTGTCCTATTGAATTTAAAATTTACATTATATTTATAATTTTTTTTTATACATTAATATTTATTTATTGAATCTGCTTCGACAACGGAAGCCTAACAATAAGTAATAAAATCTTTTGCTAAATTAAAACGAAAAATCCTTTATTAAAAATGCGCTGCTGGTTTGACCTTGCTCTTGAGAAGGCATGGGCCAAGGTGTTATCCAAAGGGTTCGGACTCAATCTCTTCTTTGATGGTAGGTGTATTTAGATCTCCATGGATATTTTCATTACTCATGTACCATGGTGCGCCTGTTATTTCTCTTAATGTTTTCGATTGGAACCTTTAAATTATATCTATATTCGTTGCGCCAGCTGTGCCCCATAACTGGATTCCATACATCTATATCGGTTTTTAAGTTGCATTATATAAGAGGACTTTGTTGATAATAATATTAAGTCCAGACCTCTTGTTTAAAAGCCAATGTAAACTGACAGATTTGAGTTTAAGCTGCAGCTTTTTAGAAGCATTGTGTCGTCTCCAGATTAACCGCCTGTCCAAGTGGATTCCGAGATATGTAATTTCGTCAGCCTGAGGGATTGACACATTTTTGAGCTTAACAGTATGGCACGTATTTGGCCTAAGTGTAAAAGTGATGTGTTTGCACTTGTTTACATTAACTTTTATGCGCCATTTCGCTAGCCATTCTTCAATTAGTTTAAGGTGCTGCTGTAACACTTTTGTGGCTGTAATGGGGCATTTATGTCGACTTATTCTAGCAGTATCATCCGCAAATATTGAAGTAATTACTTTGTCACTTGTAGGAATATGTGCGGTGAACAGTATGTACAATATTTGTACAAGAACACTACCCTGCGGAACACCTGACGGTATTGGATACTCTTCTGTTGTATATTCATTTACTTTTACTGTGAATCGCCTGTTGGATAAGTAGGATTTAAGAATATTGTAGAAAGTGTTAAGTAATTTTTTTTTATGAATGAGGCCATCATACCACACTTTGCCAAATGCTTGCGCCACATCAAGAAAAACGGCCGAGCAATACTCTCTCAATTCGAAAGCTTTCCTTATTTTATTTGTTATTCGATTTACTTGTTCAATTGTGCCGTGTTTTTCCCAAAAACCAAATTGATGTGTAGGAATAATATCATTTTG